GCGCGGGGGAGCGGTGGCCTCCCCGCCTGCGTCCCCACGTCTCAGGCCTGCCCCCCGCCCCGCGCCCTGCCGAACACCGCGTGCACGCAGTGTGCGATAGGTAATAATAGTGCCAAAAGCTCACGCGGGGCGAGGGGGCCAGGCCTGTGACCCTCACCCTCTGGGAGGCTGAGGCAGGACGATCAAAGTTCTCTTGGAGCAGCCTGGGGCCTATCTACTTAGCAAAGCCTGTCGCAAAAATGCAGGGGAGGTGCTGGGGACAGAGCTCAGTGTGAACCCCCAGTACTTCAATAAAAGTTGGCATCCTATTTACTGGGTTTTTTTTCCACTCAATAGTATGAATATTATGCCATGTCGGTGCAGATAGATGTAGATTATACTTTATCCTTTTTCCCCTGGTGCTGGGGACTGAACCCAGGGTCTTCACACTGAGCTCCATCCCTAACCCCTTTTCTATTTGAGACTGGGTCTCACTAAATTGCCCAGGCTGGACTCGAACTTGTGACCCTCCTGTTCAGCCTCCCAGAGTGCTGGCAGCACTGGCATGCGCCGCCATACCTGTGTCCTCTCTACATTTTATTTTGAGACAAGGTCTTGCTAAGTTGCTCAAGTTGGCCTTGAACTTGCCATCCTCCTGCTTCAGGCTCCTAAATAGTTGGATCACAGGCAGCACCACCACAGGGCTTGAAAGTGCACACTTGAGCGCGTCCCTCCGCTCCGAGGCCCTTGGGAAAGCTGCACGTGCTGAGAGGGATGCAACTCTTAAATCCATCACCGCCCAGATTCTACCCCTCTTGCCTGGCAGCCACTGATCTACTGTTTATTAACTGCCATTTTAGAGAATTATATATAAATAGATGCAAATATTTTAAATTTTTAATGGTTATTGGGGTTTTTTTTGTTGTTTTATTTTTTGTCTTTTTGAGACAGGGGCTCGCTCTGCAGTCAGGCTGGCCTTGAGCTCACTTGGTGGCCCAGGCTGGTCTCAAACTTGCAACGATCCTCCTGCCTCAGCCTCCCGAGTGCTAGGATTACAGGCGTGCGCCACCCTGCCTGGCTTTTAATGGCTATTGTTAAATTCCCCTCCAATACGCTGTATCTGTATGCACTGAGAGAGCCTGTTTTTGTGTCTTTATGAGGCATGATCAAACATATGGTAAATGGCCATTTCAGCTCAATTCCTTCTGTTGAATTTATCCTACTCAGAATCTCCCTAAACCAAGTTACACTTTAAACTGCTTTCATCT